ATATGTCCTGATAATGCTTCAAAACGGACGGAATTAACAAAATTAAAACTATTTTTGTCCATCTTCACCGTTCAAAAATAATGCAAGTTGTACAAGAAGAACATGTTTGTCACCGAATCTATTCTGGGTTCTATGAACTGAACTGTTTTAAAAAAAATAATACAAATTGAGTAACAACGGTTCAGTATATATATTTGAAGATAACAAAAAAATAAAAAAAAAAACTTCCCAAAATTTGGTTGAACAAATATTTCTTGATATTCAGCTAATCGATATAGGTTCATGACTTATTAATGAACTGAACTACCTACTGACTATTATTCAACGTATTTCACATAAAATGAAAATTAAAATGATTACCACCTCGCTAATTTCGCAAATGTTTACCCAAATGTTAAAATTATTTACAACCTACACATTTAAATAAGAAGCTAGGTATAACAAATTTGGTCATAACTTCATGAAGCGGAGACTATTTCACTGTAAAATCTCAGGCGTAACGAGTGATTGAATCACTCGTCAATCGTAGCTTTTTCATAATTGTAAGTTCTTGGTTTTTTCTTCTTTGATAAATACTGTTTTTCCAGGTGCTAATATTTATGGAACTATCACTTTTTTACAATGTGAAAACTAAATAAATCCAGAAGCTGTGCAAGTTTGATGAGGGGCAAGTTGAAAAGGTCGCCTCTAATAGTCATTCCGCAATATAAACAAATAGTCCAATTAATAAGATAACTTATTTATAAATTTTGGCTACTGAAGGAGAAAGCATGTTATTCAGTTCTTTTAAGGCGCGTATACATTTGTAACGTATGACCCGTAACGTAACATGTCCGTGGTTATATCAAGTGTAATGGAGACGCAGTACTTTGCATTTTATACGTACAATATGCCACTCTGACATACACGCGTGTCAGAGTGTACGCGTGTCCACACGCGTAATCAACATAAGGCTAGGCACAAGTTGAGCACGTGTGAGGTGACCTGCACAAGACGCACGTGTTACAAGCGTAACGTGGATGATCCGCAAATTGAACGCAGTTCCGAAGTTATAATAGTACCGCTATATCCAATTGAGTTCGGAATTAGAATCCGACAATGATACTGAAAACGAAATTTTGTTTTATTGTTTGCCCGTTAATAATAAAGTAAGATTACCAACAAGAATATTATCTTGGAAAGGGAAAATAAGTGGACAATATATGATATCAAAGAAGATTTTGATGGTGATTTTAGTAATTACTTCCAAATGAATCGAAACTAAATTGCAGAAGTGCATGAGATGATCCAAGGATGTCTCAAAGGGATGCCATGCCTAACAACCTATTCTTACTGAGCATACAAATTATTTGGCGAGCATACAAAGGCTTTGGCGACACGTGAAAGAATTGTCACGAAAACGGTGTCTCAACTACTGTGCCACGCGAGTCACGTGTCACGCTATTCGCGCCAAGTCGAGTCCGGGCGCCAACTTGCGCTGTTTTATTGGTGTTCATGGGTTACAAAAGATCGTGCTGGCTGCGTCACTCCACACGCTTCCAATTTGCGCATAGGCTAAGACCAAGAACGGTATAGTCAAAGTAAACGATGTTGTGCACATTTAAAGTTGTTGGTACCCTCAAAGGCCACAACAACCAATTCAAAGAAATGAACCGGCTGAGAAATAGACCACGTGGACTGTAGAATTGGCGGTTCCTATTGGATAATTTTTACTAATCGAGTTTTATGATTGGCTGAAGAGTCATAAAATTAAATTTGAAGTCATGTTACAGTGAATTTGGGGATAGTTATCGCAGTCATGTTCAGTTCAGGAACTGATCGCGATTTGACTGTTAAAATTCGATATTTGTGCAGTTAAAATTACAAAATTTTTTTTATTTGTTCAAAATGTGGCGTCCTTGGACAAGCACTAATAGTAACAACGAGTGTGATAACAACGCAGACTTTTTCCCGTGTAGTGATTCCAATAGCGATGGTGAACAATGCGAAAAAGAGATATCAGTGAATAAGATTCGGATGCATTTCAATATTGAAACAAGAGAGTATGTTCCGTATTCTTTGAAATTATGTGGAAAAAAACTTGAGAACTGCAATGTTGACTATCGTAAGAACATGGAAGCTAATATTTTCGAGGAATGGTTTGAAAACACATTGATCCCAAATGTGGAAGCGAATAGTGTAATAGTTCTTGACAACGCTTCCTATCATTCGCGACAGATCATCAAAGTACCAAATAAAAATTCGAGGAAAGATGAAATACAAAGTTTTTGAGGGTAACAGTTTGTATTTTGAAGATTACTATACCAAAAACCAACTACTTGAAGTTTTACAGACAAAAACATTTGAAAGAAATGTATGCCCTTGAGAGTATTGCTGAAAACTATATATAGACACACCATACTGAGACTTCCCCCCTATCTTTGTGTTTTCAATCCCATTGAGTTTATTTGGGGAATATTGAAACAAAGCATCAGGCGTAAAATTAATTCTCAAAAAATTTATAAGAAGGTAATAGAGCTGATTAAAGAAGTATATTACCGAAGAAAACTGGCAGAAAAGGATTAAAAAAGTAATTTCAGTTGATAAAGACTATATGGAAATTGGACACTTCCATATTATTGGTGGAAATAAATTCATTATTGATTTAAATGACGACAGTGATAGTGTAACAGATAATATGGAAGAGGAATTATCAGAAGCTTTCGAAGAAAGTTAGTGAAGTGTTTTTGAAGAGACCGTATGTAGATATATGTGAGTAAGAAGTATTTTCAATTATCACCCTGTTATTTGGGTCCCTACTTTCTAACTCACCTATATAAACGAAATATTTATTATATATAGGTATTATTATAAACATTATATAGTTATTGTGATTCTTATATAATGAGAAATGATTATTGAATAACGAGTTACCTCCCTAACTTATTAAAGGGTAGCTGTTGGAAGGTAGGTTGCACTATATCGTTTACTTGAACTATACCTACGGCTAGTGGAGCCGAAGTATTGGGCTCATTGAAATATTACGTAAGTAGCAAAGAGGGGCTGGAGGTCTTTGCTTCGTTTATTTTTGATGACATGGGAGCCGTTTTATTTATCTTTTCAGATTCTCTGCAAATTTTGGTTGAACTTTTACGTTAAGACGGGAGGAGTTCAGCTTACTTTCGCTGTGGAGGCGGCGTAAGGCGTGGGCCACCGCCCACGACATCGCGTTGCAAAAGGCATCGCGCTTCAAAGCCGAAAATAATTTAAAAAAATCGAGAAGTACACGCCGGGATTTTTTTTTATAATTGAGATATTAGAAACTTATCAACCTAAAGATATTCCACTCTTCGGCACACGAAAGCACATGAAGGAAAATATTTCTTTTTCTGAAAAGCTCTATTGTATTATGAAATTAATTAATTGAAAAATTATCATCTTTGTCTCATCTTCATTAACGCGTTCATTCAAGCATTACTCTTGAACATTTGCTTACATTTTGTGACTTAATCAAAGAATATCGACAAACTGGATTTGATAAATATGTTCTTCAATGTCCCAGAACACTACATAAGTAAACATTTTGGTAAGTGTTTCATAATGAATAAAAAATTGTTTAACTTCAGATGTTTTCTTCAGTTTGATAACCCTTCTTATACCATCAGAGGGCTTCGCGAAATGTACCTTGCTCACATTAAATTTAGGTCTTGCGCCGCCACTGTTTCGCTGGGTTGAAAATGACATTTTTGCTCACATAATACTTGAATTGATCCCACTGTTTTCATCCGTAACACTATGGCATGCGTGACAGTACGTTATAGGCTGTTGGCTCATATGGATACGCGCCTTCATGCTAAACCACCATTGCATGCAGCATTATTTCGTTACGGTTACGTTACGAGATTATTGATACAGCCAAAACTCACAATTCTTTCAGAAGCGAACCGCGTTATCCCGCAACGAACATGTATGGTGTTTTGTTACTAGCCATTTGTTCATATGAATACGCGCCTTCAGAATCTGTTTAGGTAGTCGAAAACCTAATTGGAATGTAATCTGAGAAGGGTTTTTGACTGACGATATTCTGCTGAAAACTCAGCTTAAATAGTTCATTTATTGCCATGTTCGCAGTCATTTAGAATGCAACACTCAAATAGCTGTCGGAATAATTTTACTAGGTCTAAAATGTTGGAGAATGACGTTGTTTTTTCTCGCGGATCGGTGTCGGGACCGATTTTGTCCGATTGATCCAGGCAATTTTGAAGTAAAATATGAACAATATGTTTAGTTTTTCCATTAATTTCATTTTATTTTCCAGGAAAAATTAATAAAATCTGTAAGTTTCTGACTGAGTGGAATATTTTTGTAGCAGTAATCACGCAGTAATTTTTTTGGAGAAAACCTTAATTTGATATATCTCACGCTTGTCTAAATAGGTCACTTGCAGATTTTTTATGGGCCCTACACACTAGGCGTGTCAAATATTTTTCGAAGACGTCAATTTCAGTGATGAAAACGATATAAATTATGCTTTGGTCGGCATGTTCCCAAGTATGAAAACTTATGTACACTTTTGGATGCATTCAAACATGGAAATATTATATTTTTGGAGATATACAGAACTGGTATTTTGATTACAGATTGTAAACAAAGTAGAGAAATTTTCAATTTGTACTATTCACTCTTATGAACGTCATTATAAATTCCAAAGTAATATGTTCAAATTTCTGTATGAGTACCTGGTCTGGCGTTAATTTACTTAGATCCTTATCGAGTATCTACTCATCTGCTGGTTTATCATCAAAGTTTAAAATATCAATTCGGCATAATTTTAAAAATACTATATTCGAAATCTTGAATGACTTATCATCTCGATAATTTCTGTGAGTGCCATTTAAAAAGTACAAAAACATTTTTTTTATCGATGAATTGACACTTTGATCTCTGCCCCAATTTCGAATTATTGACATCGACCGTTTCATCAACCCTCATTTGTTACACCTACTTCCACAAAAATCACAAAATATTAAAAGTATATTACATAGTCTGAACTAGTACATCTGTCCTCCTCACTCGTCAGACTGGAAGCCCTTGAGCTTCGTCTCCATCACAGTCACCACTGCAAAAGCAGTTGGGGATCGGTTGGTGAAGCATTGTGGGGACCAGGAGAATACTCGCCATCTGGGGGCCAGTAGGGAGGATATCTTGGAGCTGCCTCCTGTCGCACGCTACAAGGACTGAAAGCTGTTGGAGAGGGATAACCTTGCTGAGGATAACCTCCCGAGTTGCAATTAGTGTAGGAGGCTAAAGGTGATTGGCCGAGCCAAGAAGTTTCGTATCTGCAATTAAAGTAAAAAAAAAATACAGAAATGCAGTAAGGATAGTATTTTAAATGGAAATGTCAACAATAAAAATTTCACAAATAGAAAAACAATTGNAAAATGGTGTATACTCAATAATTCAGTCAGTTCATCCAGTATTTCAGTCTCAATATTACTATACACATACATACTTCTGGAAAAATACATTAGGATTGATCCATCTTTCGAAGTATGTTACCAAATAATATTGTTCAATCTGTTGTCATCTGTTATTCGCCCCTCCGAACGACAACCCTCAACTTTGCACAAGCTTAGGATTGATGAGGTCTTCCTTACCTTTTAACGTGCTATGACCAGCACGGTAGGCTACAGCCATGATAACCTACGTTGTCTAGAGGCCTGCTCAAGGTCACTGTTGTCTGAATCACATATGAAGAGACTTGAACTATCGGAACACAGTGCGTGTATTTGGAATATGATGAAACATCAGAACTCAAACTGGAGGTTTTCACTCTTGCCATCTAGCCACCATATAAACTGATGGGATTCATCTAGCTGGACTTTGGTCGGGTTTGAAAGGGTGTAAGACGTGTTAGGAATCACACGTTAAAAGATAAGACCTTGTTAATCCTTAGCACGCACAAGTTTCGACTTTGTAGGGTTGTCGTTCGTAGGGATGCGACAGGTGGTTAACGGAAAAACAGATTTCAAACAGATTTTTAAACAGATAATAAATCTTTGCGGGTTGCAGTGTTGGGTGGAATAGATTAATTTACATTCGAACTACTTACCACTTAATATACACACAGCGGTTTCGAATATTCTGTAGCATTTCCGGTGTATTCTTCCGACATTCAGCCGTAGTGCATAAACTTTCACTTAGACATGCTGGATGAGTTGTATAACTTGCAATCTTCAAATGACCTCATAAAAAATCTAACGGACCTAAATAAGGTGACCTTGCGATCTATTCTACTGGTCCAATTCGACCAATCCATATGACAGGAAAGGTTTCATCTAACTATTGATGATTAGCGAAGGTATAATGAGGTGGTGCTTCATCTTGAAATGTCTATTCGCACTCATTATGTTCATGAATATCTATTTGAAAAAAATCTGTTTTTCCGTTAACCAGCTGTCGCACTCTTACGAACGACAACCCTCAGAAGTCGAAACTTGTACGACCTAAGGATTAACGAGTCCTTACCTTTTAACGTGTGATATTACCAGTGCCTTCTAGCAATTGCTCAGCAAGTAGGGAGATTGCAAGACCTCCGTCTATTATTTTTTTGCAAACATTAAGTGAAGTAATTCTTAATAAATGTCGTGCACTATGTATTGCATAATTAGTTTTGATAATTTTAAAAATGTAAAATTCTCTTTTTTGGCGCGTTTTCTTCGAAGTTTTTTTCGCCTGCTACAAGGAATACACAAAAAACTTTGAAAACATGAACGAGGTATCGTTTGAAATATTCAAATTTTGAGAATTGAGGGTTCCGTCATTCCTTACTGAAGGTGGAAGAGACAAGGTTAAAAGTATGCTAAAACCATATAACTTGATAAAAATGCAGACACGAAGCTGATCAAAAATCTATTATATCAAAAATAATACCATCAGTGAGTTTTTTCCACCACCAAACCGTTATTTTAACACCTCGACACGTGTTTCGATCACCAAGTGATCATCTTCAAGGGGAAGATCAAACACGAGGTGTTAAAGTAAAGGTTTGGTGTTGGGAAAAAACTCCACTAATATTCAATACTATACCAAAGGTTCCAAACGAAATATTCTACGGTTTTTCTATTGTTGGACCTAAATTATTCGATTTATACGAACTCACATTCATTGAGATCAGCCGAATAGATTATATGAAAGTTCTGGACGTTTTCAACCATTCGAAGAAAAAATAAAATGTTCAACAACTAGGTAACTTGGCAAAAGTTTCACTAATAATCAAAAGTTTAACTAATATTTTCGCTTAACAACACCTTTTTCAAATTTTCAGTTTTCAGATGTAAATCATATTCCGATAACGAAATATTTTTATTTTCAAGATTTTTATTTTCGAAATGAATACAATTTGTTCTATAAAATGATTCTCAATGTTGAAGAAAAGAGAAATGAAACTTTTTATGTTTTTCAGTAATCACGCAGTAATTTTTTTGGAGAAAACCTCATCAATTGATTCTCAATGTTTTCAGTTGCTTAAGAACTATTGGTCAGTCATTTAATTTTTTCAATATTTCCTGTACTATTATAACCGTAAATAAATGAATTATAGAACTCAGTAGTATCCACAAAATACAAAAATACATTTTCTGCCATTTTGAATATGCTGGAGTCGAAAAAAATTGTTTTTCAATTTTCAGATTAGGCTAAGTTTTCAATAATATGGATTTCATCTCGATCTTAAAGAATGATTGAAATTTCAAATCGACCTCTTGAGACAGAGACAGGTGGATGGACAGTTTAAGAGTCGGAGGGACAAACATAATTACAGACAGAAGATCGAAATTTCCAAATATTTCAAGTTTTCGATTCTGAACTCTTTCTACAACCAGCGTTTGCTACTCATTACTTGCTAAAGGTCGTCACTTGACCTTAATAGAAAGGATTGCAAACGCCATAATGAAAAAATGCTTCCTGAGAACCTTTATAGTTTCGAAACACCTTGTATTGTCATAACTTCACTAGCAACCTTTGAAACCCATCCTTTCGAATTCTCAACTGAACGTGAACAAAATGGCAGCCAGGTAGACAACGACAAATCTTTCAAGCCCAATATAATTTATACGTTGACTTACCTGGTATATGGCGGTGGATAGGTAGGCGGCGTGAAGATGTTTCTCGCAAGAGGTAGCCCGTGTTGGCTGAGGGCATCACTGAAGAATGCTTTTGGGTATGGTTGAGCAGACCGGTAGGGGCGTTTCATTCTTCTTCGCCTCCGGTAGTTGCCATTTTCGAACATGTCTTCGTATTGGGGATCCAACGTCCAGTAGTTTCCTTTTCGTTCACCGCCTCCTTCTCTTGGAACCTGCAATAAAGGAATACTTAGATTAATACCACAGGAGAGGAGTACTCAGGCAGTAGTGTGGAGTACCACCAGGTACTCCACATAAATTGAAATAAAAACTATCGTTAACACTTAATAGGCCTCTAGGCATGAAACAGTTCGGTATATCGCGGAAAAAACTATACCCAGAAGTTATTTCAAATTTGTTTAATTATCAGGTTGTTTGCTGATGATGAATAATTTAATTCTGGTATACAGGGTGAGTTAACAAGATTCCCTCGGTCCATTACTATCAGGGAGAACAATTTTTCGAATTGCTCATTTTTTGCAGTCATATTGATAAATACTGTCTTTTAAAATTATTCTCTGGCATACTGGGTGATTCAGCCGCGCGTGTCCAACCAGTTATTATTTTTTAAATAGAACACCCAGTAAAATACGTCATTCGATTCCATATTTTTAAGCTCTCTAAGGAATTTTTGATTTCGAATTTCCATTACGGCATTGCCAAGTTGTTCCAGAAAAACCTATTTTGCAGACAATATTTTTTTAATTCACCACCCGCGTGTCTACAGAAATTAAGTGGATTTTTTAAAGAATTGTTAGTCAACTCGGTTAGCTCGGTAAAACCGTTAAAGTTTCATTCACTTTCAAACAGACATAACATTTTCAAATGGAACACCCTGTATTTTTTCACTTGTATGAAATGTAATCAAAAAGCAGCTCCGTACATTTTTTAAAAATTGTATAGGCAATTCCTCAAAACGAAAATTTACCAAACTGAACACATTTTTCAAACTCTCTTCCTCTTAACTCTTGCATCAATTGCATGTGGTAAGGATGAAATTTGCTTGCTCGTATCAGTTGAGACACGCTGGTTTGAAAAAATCTTACTTCCCTGTTCAGCTCTCGGGTATTCACATGGAGATTTTCAACAAGGTGAAGAGCAATTTGAAATGTATTCTCTTCATTAGTTACAGGGCAGACACGTTCGAACTTCTTCTGATTGACATTACCAGTTCTTTCAAATTTTGTTTTTAGAGCCTGAAATGCCTTTCCATCTGATTGTCTTCTTTCGGGGAACTTTGTAAATCCTAGATGCAAGGAGGCATTTTCCGTCACTTTTCCCCAAAGCACCATATCTTCCAATACAAAATTCATAATTTCATAAAAAGTGACAAAATGTCACTCTGCTTTACTTTGCCAAGCTTTCGCTTCTAATGTGAAGCTCCTTCAGGGCAGTAAAAATGAGCGAAAAACAATAAATTGAACATTAAATTGACGAGAAAGTTGTACATGTATAGGATTTTTTTTGTGGGTTCGACGAATGTCATGACAAATGACATTTGTCAAACCCACAAAAAAAATCCTATACATGTACCTGTCAGTTTAATGTCATGACATTTGTCAAACCCACAAAAAAATCCTATATAGTATAGTTTGTAAAATATGAGTTTTTCTTATACTATACCTCTGATTAAAAAATGTAGTGATATGTTGTAACATTTCATCCAAGTGAAAAAATACAGGGTCTTCCATTTGAAAAAGTTGAATTATGTCTGTTTGAAACTGAATGAAACTTGACCGGTTTTACCGAGTACCCTATATATTGTTTCCGAGAGTTGAGATTCCAGAAATTATCATGGTGATGTTGATTACCTATTCCTAAGGAAATCTACTTAATTGCTGTAGAAAATTCTAAAAATATTGGAATCGAATGGAGTATTCATATACTGGGTGTTCTATCGGAAACAAATATAACTTAATATGCGAGAAAATAATTTCAATGACTACAAAAAAA